CGGCCGGTGTGCAAAGGACGTCCTTTGGATTAGGGGACTTCTTTTGGGGGGGACCCCTGTGTCAGGAAACACCCCCCTGTTGGCCTGTGGAAACAAATTACTGCCCAGAAACATGTCAAGGTGTTTAGATCCAAATTTCCCCTTCTTCTGAGTAAATTGCACTTGCACATGGGTGTCTTTTTTGGAGATCCTTTTTCGGTTGGCTCAAGGGAAACAAATATCCTGTTTCTGAGAGAGAATAGAAAAGGCTCCCTGAAGGAATCGGAGGTGGAATTCATTCAATGTTCCAGTCAGGTCGCTCATTTCCCTTTGGCTACCAGGGAAATGGAACTGGGCACTGTCTCCCAAGCCATGTCGCCTTGCTCACCAACAGACGTCTGGAAGGGACTTGCCCTTCCAAATCGCCCCCTTGTGGCTTGCTGCATTTCTAACAAAAAAAACTGACACTCCAGAAGTCCGCCAAAAAACACAACCAGAACAACCAAGCACAAGTCTCAAAACAAAAGAGACCCTTCCAGGATTTACCTGTTGATCCCCTGTTGGAACTGGGACATCCATCAAATTTGTACACAACCTCAAGCGACTTGCGTACCTTCACACCCCGAAGAAGAAAACAAAGACCAAACCAGCAAAAGCCATCTCAAGCGCTATTTCCTCCTTACCATCCCCCGAAGGTGTACCTTTTGTGTGACTTGCAAAAGGAGTGAAACTGACATGCCTTGACCGCCAACATGAAAACCCATTTAAAGGGTACATAACAACCAATGGTGTGTTGTGTCGAGAAAGAGCTGTGGCAACATGCTATTTCGATACGACAATCAGAGTTGGCTGGACGAAACGTGTCTTCCAAAACCTCCCTGAAAAACTCACAGATTGACCAAAATACGTCTAAACCGCCTTTTATTTACCACTGAAATGGTCCAAAGCTAAAACGCACAGTATCACGAGTTCACCCATCAAGCGACGCCCTACAGGCCGGGGCTGGGGCGGCGCAGGCACATTCCTCGTCCGATCGAATCGGAAACCCTTTCCGCTGTCTGACCTGAGTCTGGCTAGAAAAAGTTTACTGAGCCTAGATTGAAATCACGAAACCTGGCATAAACTTAGCTTTGGAAACGGAACAGGAAACGTATAGTCCACAGGGGGCCAGGTGGTTGCTGACGGTTTGCGTTGTGGTGAGTGCCATCCAAAGCGGAGCGAAGCAGAAAGAAGGCCACAACAACGGTATCCCTTTGTGAGGTCAATCGCTTTCAATTGGAATCCATCTAGATGTATTTTGAAGCAAAGCTACACTTGGACCATGGCCTTTTGTTGGACTTGTTGCGACTTGAGCTACAGTACGATTTTGTGATTTCAAAACGGCACCTTCAACGAAGTCCAAAACAAAACAACAAATATCAAACGATAGAAGTGAGCTCAAGCGTCCGCCAACCCAACCCAACCAAACCAGCCACAGCCAAACTGCTGTGAATATCAACTGGGATTTGGGCCCTCTGGTGGGCATCATTTAGCTTGGGATTTAGGTCCAGCCATTTTGAGGTGGTTCCTTCTTAAAATTCTGAGATATGAACCACCGCTGGTACAAATGTATAAACCACCTCTTTGCGCCAAAGCATCCAACTGTCAAAGCCACCACTTCTTTAACTACTGCTGGACAAAACAAAACCCATGTCGGCGGGCGAACACATGACATTTGGCCCCGAAGAAGTAGGATACCAACTGAGCGCCCAAAATCTGTGCTGACTTTGAGTGTACTATGTTTAAGGTTCGACCCTTACAAAACCGGCCGGTACCCCATCGGCCAAATGCCAACTTCCCCGGACTGCGCCGTTCCAAGCAGTTTGGCTCGCCCAATCTAAATTTCAGAGGGGCTTCATGATATGCCGAGTACCGGAACCGGTCTTTTGATGGTCAACTGAGGTTTCCCTGTAACAAGGTACATGGCGAGTGATCTTTTCTGAAACTGTTTCAGGGCTGCTTGGCAACTGCCTCTTGACTTTGCACTAAAAACACTGATTCTCTTTGGAAATTTCATGCCAACTGCTTGCTCATGTCGCATAAAGAGGTCCATGACAACCAGCGGTTGATTGTCGTATCCGGTCCGTCAGCTAATTTGTCTCCCTTCAAAGCTTACATGGCTCGTGTCTTTCCCTTTGCAGGGGTCCAAACAGCTATTCAATTTCCGGTATTCCCCCCTGCCACTGTTTCCCCCAAAGCGTGGACAGCACAAATCTGTCCAAAAAGCAACGAGTTGCTGACACCAGCCTTCCACCTGCATACGGACTCCCCTTGTGCCGAGCATCGGCATACTCATCGCGGCCTGGCCGACATGGGAAGCGAGCCAGGAGGTTCCACCCATTTTGTTCAGGCCATGTGAAGACAAACCCACACGTTCCTTGTAAAAAGAGGGGACCAACCTATCTGCAAATGTTACAACCATTCCACCTGAAATAAGAATTGGATCCCCAAGAAGCCTCATGGGGTTGCGCGCCTTTGGAACCGTGGAACCTCGCGAGCTTAAGAAAACCATAGCCAGATGCCCACAAAGCACAAGTTGGATTGTCGAAGCCTTCCCAATAAACCTGTGGGCTCGGGGTATCTAACCAGTTTGCAGGTATGGCAACCTTTGTGTTGTCTGCACGAAAGGCTAAACTGATTGATAGGGAAACAGGCCTTGTTTGTCAATTTTTTGAAAGGTTAAAGATCCAACCAAATTAGCAGCAAAGCGACTGCTTACCAAAGATTCTGCCAAAGACCATGCAGAAACCGTACTAGCAAGAATCGCAGGATGTGATTGGCCCCACCCTAAGGGAAGCCACGTCTGACACCGGAACCTGCCCCTGAGACAGCAGCAAAGGACGGCGCGCACAGTCGGCAGTGAGTGTACACTCGACCCCTCACCCCACAGAAGTATGTTCCACTTGGGAACATGGAACCTGGCTGCTTTCTGGCCTGGAGGGGCCTTCCGACGGGTGGACAATGACTTCCGATGGACAATGATTGTGCATCGAAACCCCAAAGGACTCACTCCGTTGGGACCGGATTGAAAAGACCAAAGGATACTTGGTGAAGCTCCGCCAAAGCCAAGGCTTTGCCAAGGCAGAGAAGTAGTCAAACAATCTTGGCCGGTGTTTTGCAAGAAGCTGCAGTGTTGATTGCGCCAGCAATCAAGGAGCACTTGATCAGTCTCAGTGGTTCGGAATGGCGGATCCCTGCAGCAACTCTAATCCGTGATTAATCGGTGGGTGCCAGGATCCTGTGACTGATTTTTCGGGCACACGCGACGCCCAACCCGCACGTCCAAGGTCCCGCCTGCGCTTGCGCCTGCGCCTGGGCCTGTTGCCACTCGTGCGCCTGCGCCGCCTGTGCCGCCTGCGCCGCCTGTGCCGCCTGCTGCGCCACTTGCGCAGCCTGCTGCGCTGCTTGCGCCGCCTGCGCCGCCTGCGCAGGCCACCTGGGGTGCAAGCAGCCGATCGAGGGAAAGGGGCAGAATTGGACCTTAGGGCCGTCATGAGTCGATCAACCTCAAAATAGCTGAGCAACAACCAATGATAAACGGCACAATGGTGAATGAGCCAAGCAATGCAAATGCCTTGCCAAAGTTTGCACAACAACAAGCAGAATACGCACACATAACTTAACGTGTTGCTGACATTCCGTGTTCGAGGCACCTGTGGATCATGCTGATAGTTTCCTACCTAGGAACCCTGACAAAGGTTGCTTAGGTTTCCTACTAAAGGCTCCATGACCAGGCTTAAGGATTAATCCAAGGTTGACATGAGCTGAGGATGATGGAAGAAAGTCGTTGGGCGAGAACTTCTGTCGGCAAAGGAGGGAGAGGTCTGCATCGCCGGCTCAGACTTTGGATCTACTATGTTAATGCCCCATGGCAAAATCCACATGTGGGGCATTGACAACACAGATTTTGCTTGGCGCCTGTGTGCAACTTTGCAGGTTCGAAAAGCCTCTCTGACGGTGTCCGCAAATTTTGCCGTGGTCGGATCCAAGATGGTAAAAAGTGGCCTTCCCAGCTGTTTTCCCGAAACCTTCACCTGGGACAGAGCTTAGGCTTTTACCTTCTTAGGGGCTCTTAGAACATTTTGGCAGGCGGCCAACGCAAAGAACTAGGGTGCTGGGTTCTCTGGACGCCCAGTCCGCGGGAAGATTTGGGCGTCCGGCGTGCCGGCCGCAAACCTCGGAGCCGAGTGCAAACACAACATGCAAACAAACAAGCCAACAAGCAAACAAAAATGCAAACAAACAAAGAAGCATTCATCCATTCCCGGCACGCGAGGGTCTCACGTACAGTAGCCTACAGCCTGTTGGCTGGATGATCGTCGATCACACACAAAGGAGCCCTTTCCAACAAACAAACAAACAAACAAACAAACAAACAACCAAACAAACCAACAAACAACCAAACGGAAAACAAACAAACAAACCAGCCCTACGCCGGCCATGACTCTTGTCCAGCACCTTCTTTGAAAGCAAGGCGTCCCTTGCAGGGACTACTTCGCACATCGTTCGGCAGGCGTGTGGGTGTGTGTGTGTGTGTGTGGGTTGCAGTGGCTGAGTGAGTGTGCTAACTAATCATCTGTCCAGCGTGTGTGCAGCGCTGACCGCGTGCTCTTCAGCAGCTGCGCTTTGTGCAGAGCTATGGCGTTTTCAGCAACAAACAAACAAACAAACGGGCAGGCAGGCAGGCAGACATAACAGGCAGACAAAACAGGCAAGCAAGAAGTACGCCAACGACAAGCAAGCGTAGAGCAAACAAACACACAGACAAAACAGGCGCAACGCAAAGTAGCCAGGCGAGTACGCCAACATCCCGGAACCCGGGACCATATATATATATATATACACATAAAATTATATATATATATATATATATGTGCACATACATACATACATCATTAATATGGGCACATGGGTTCGTACACAACCGCACGCTTGCGACTGCCGTCTGACCCATTTGGGCTCCGGACCCAGGAGGGTACATGTCACCTGGCAGCATTCAAAATGGGACCCCCCTAAAATTGCAGATTCCCCGTGGTTGTCCCTTGAAACAGCAAAAAACGCCACCGTTCAAAAACCAACTCTTTTGGTTTGTGAAACTGGGTTGTTCCAGGACATCCCTAATCCTAATCCGCAATATGTGTAGCAGGACACCCACTACTATTTGGCATAAGGATTTCGAACAACCCAGCGTTAAACCTGGCCAACGCTGGGTGGGGACTTGTAAAGCCGCCCCGGCCCGAAATTGGCGCCCGCAAAACAAAACAAAGCTTCTTCCAGTGAAAACCCTGTGGCCCCAGGCCATCCCAAATAGGTGAGAGGCGAAACTGCTATGTCTTAAAAAGGATTTGGCCCATTTCGGCTTTGCTTTTGCCTTGTTCAGAAGGGTACCATTCGTGCCTGCGCCTGCGCCGGCGCCGGCAGCGTACCACTCTCGGGCCTGCAGGACGAGGCCCGAATCTGTGGTACGCGGCGCCGCTTCTCATTTTTTATCTGGGTCTGTCCTGTTTCAATGGGTACCCCTTTGCTTGTGGTTTTACAGGGAAGTCAACTGGAAAACCCCTATTTTGGTGGATCCCGCAAGAAAAAAAGAGACACATCTGCTAGTGATGCACAAAACAATTAGTTGCGCCAATTGAGATGAATAAAGCCCTGGGATTAGGCACCAACTGGTCTCTGGGATTCTGGGGAACCCCAGTGGGATAGTGTATGCCTCTCTTAGCCAATACGAATTTGTGTTTTGAAACTGTCCTTTTTGTCAGGGGAGATACACCAGGGTGATTTTGTATCTGGCACAATTCCCGGTAGATGTGGGCAAGCAACGGGAATGGCTAAAAAAAAAATGAGGGAATTGCGCGATCTACTTTCACACAACTGTAAAACCATCCAAGAGAAGCGCCCTTTCCCATTTTGAGTTGATAACCCGGGCCCCCGCCCCCAGAACTTGCAACTTCCCCTGAATGCAATGGCCAACCATTTGATTGTAACATGTTCAACAGACTATAGTTTAAATAACCTTCTGTCGATGTCCCTTTCAAGGGACTTGTTGGGGTCAGAATCCAAACCTGGTAAACAGGTCCCCCATGGGCAAGAGTTTCAAAAGGGCAGCACCTGTTTCTGGCTGGGACTGCCCCTTACCCTCCACCTACCTGGGTTTTTGACTCTAGCTCACCGGGGCCCTGCCAGCTTCATAGCGATGCTGGCTTTGGATTTGCCAAGCAAACAGCCGATATCTCAAAGATGATCCTGTTCCGCCCAGAGACGGATCTTCGACTTGAAAGGCCATGGCAAGTGACTCATGCCCTGGGAGCGCCCCGAGGGAATGAGTCCCCAGTATTGCTACGTCCAAGGTGTTTCCAAGTCGGGGGAAACTAAAACTTTGAAACCCATTGCAATGGTCCAATCAAGTGATCGCTCCCCCAAGGTGACTGTATCAACCATCCGCCCCGATCCTGAGCATCGCCGTGGCCGATCGACGGCATTGCTGACAAGTCAAAAGGAATACAGATTTGTGCATATATATATATATATGTATATATGTAGGTGTGTATATATATATATGTATATATATATATATATATACGTGTGCATGTAATTGTAACTATAGGTGTATGTATATATAACTATATAATCATGGCACCGTTCGCAGGGCGGCGGCCGGCCTGTGAAAGCCTGAGCACGCACATGCGGCACTTTGACTCCGAGGTGGAGCCGACGCGCGTGCGCATCACATGTGTGGTCGGTCTGAAGATACGCCTGTTGCGGGTGTGCCTGTCATTGGGCCTGCGACTAGGTTGTGGCTGCAGTCTGACACCTGTTGCAGGTGTGCTTACCATTTGGCCCGCATGGCGTCTGTGCAAGGCACGCGTCTGTGCAAGGCACGCGTCTGTGCAAGGCACGCGTCTGTGCAAGGCACGCGTCTGTGCCCCAGCTTGCAGGAGGGTGACGCGAACTCTTCCACGGGGCATGCCTGCTTGAACGGCAAAACCATGACGGACAGAATGTGTTCCATATGTCAAAACATCATGCTTTTGCACAACACATAATTCCCTGTCAACACGTGCGTCTTGAGAGTGCTGCAAACGCATATGAGCACGTGTATACATATATACATGCAGATGCATATATATATATATACACACATATGTGTATATACCGGTACATATGTACAATGTACATGTGGTGTAGATGAATAAGTTGAAGTGTAAACCTATAGCCTATACACACACATAATAAACTACACAAACAAACAAACAAACAAACAAACCAAACAAACAAACCAAACAAGCAAGCAAGCCAAACCAAACAAACACGAAACCATAAATTGACGCATAAATACATACTTGCAGATATACGACTTTCATGAGGGGTAACCAAGCTCAACGGTGAATACCGTCGGGAAATGGAAGCTGCTAACTGCTAACCACGGGCCAACAATTGACCATAGCTCCCAATACTCCTTCTGCGTGTTGATGATTTGTGCTCAGCCTCCATGCCTCCATGTTGTGGTTGGTTTAGCCGATGCCTCGAAGAACCCGAATATGCAGAGAGAAGCGTTCCCTCCGTTTCGTGCTGCAGCCCTGAGCGCAACGTTCCAGGCATCTTTAAGGGCAAAACAAACACAACCATCGTTCCCTTCGTCAAGTAATTGGGCTTGAATTCTACTACTCCATTCTACTGATTCTGACCCTTCTAATTGCGACCTCGCGGGCCTTGCAACCTGCCTTGTGAACCTTCCCTTCAACGGCAATCTGATTCTGGGGTGTGATATGCGGACTGATGAGTCGGCCGGTTTGCGAAGGGCCTGGAAAACCAGCCAGTTCTTTGAACAACGTTACGGAAGTATGGTTTGTATCGTCATGCTATGCTTGAGAACTGAGGGTGATATAGACACAACGTACATACAGACACATTTGTCATGTTATTTGGTTATGTGTTTATATGTATCTATTTGGTTCGTTGATTCACTTGTGAATGTATTTCTTTACTCATGTATGCGTTCATTCATTCAGCTGTTAATGTGTTAATTGTATTAATTGATTTCTCTATTGATGCATAGATTCATTTGATTGTGTATGTACTCATTGGTATTATTCATTTATGTAGTGGGTTGTTGTATTTATGTATTGTGTATCCGTTCGTAATTTGTTTCAATACATAAATGTGTTTATGCATTCATGTATTGATGAATTTATGTATTTCCAGCAGCCGGAGCGGCTTTGGGCTAGGGCCAGGGTGGCGAAAGGGTTCCGAGGTTGCTGTTGGGAATACAACTTGGCCATTACTTGTCCTCAAACATAACACATGTATGTATGTGTTGTTTTGTGCTTCTTTGTGTATTTATGTCTTACTTGATTGATCGTAGTTTATTTATTTGCTCAATATAGCTTTAACCACCCAAAGTGATTGATTCCTACGACTAGATGATCATTGAGGGGGGTTCAATTCGTATCACAAACAGTGGCCCTAAAACCAATGTCCACAACCATGTCCGAATCTGGCCCCGCCTGCGCTTGCGCCTGCGCCTGCGCCTGTGCCTGCGCTTGCGCTTGCGCCTGCGCTTGCGCTTGCGCTTGCGCCTGCGCCTGCGCCTGCGCCTGCGCCTGCGCCTGCGCCTGTACTTGCGCTTGGGCTGCCTGGGCTGCGTGCAGCCTCAGAACCAGGGCAGACAGGGCCCCCTTCCCCTGTCAAAGCCAACGCAAACAAAGATTCCCTTCAATAAAAGACACATCCAAATATGCCCGTGGCTCTTTCACAACACACACGTTTGAGGAGTCATCGAAACACCAGGTGCCCCAGCAAAATGCGTTGCTTATAAAGTCGGAAGGGGGGGCACTGCACGTAATATTGGGTCTGTCAATTCTGCAACAATTCCAAAAGCTGAAATATTCCCCCCGGGTGAGCTCACCATAACATAGGCACATGCACGTGTCTCGCCCCAAAAAATGATTCAGCCTCCTTTCGCTGTGCCTTTAATCCCAAGCATATTCACCAAGACACACACCAAACACAGGGAGGGAGTCGCGGTTGGTTGCGTCGGCCCGGCTAAATAGTAAGAAAAACTCTGGTTCAGTCGGCGTGGAACATCTCACAGGTCCACAAAGGGCTAGGAACTTGCCTGGAGTGAACACAGGAAACGCGCGGCAGAGTGTGCCCTGGCTTCTGCAAACCGACCAGTCCCCAAGTGCGACAAGTTCAGTGGGCCACTTGAATCTGCTCAAAATTGGAATGCACTGGCTGACTCAAATCATCTGGGCGAATCACTTTGGCCCCGAAAATGAAAGACAGAGAGCCAGAGAGACAGGCATGCAAACACAGAGCTGACGCTCAGGCACAACAGACACGTGCGCACATGCGCGAAATTGTTCACTGGGGGGCGACGCCGCTATGTCCAACATGTCTGAAGGTAGCAGCTCGATAGCTTCTGCTTGTGCGCGCGTCATCCCAGAGATGACTCAAAACCGCTCTCTGACACATCAAGCCATGTTGCTTCAGGTCCTGTAAAGCAACAAGCTGATTGTGCTTCCTTGTTTGGCTTTTGGTTAAGGGGCAAGCCAAAAGGAAGCCTTGCCCATTTTGCCGGGTGTTTTTTTATGGCCCACAGGCGACAACGAGCGAAAGAAACAGCAAAATGAAGATCACGCCTACGGCCCTAGCTCCCTATGTTGCACTAAGTATTGCCAAGAGAATAACGAGAACCCTGCAATTAACGGCAATGGGTGTGGTTAAATGCAGTTGGACACTCGTAACATTTGGGGAACCACAATCCCGTTGTGTGGGCCAAGTCAACTCAAGATGGCCGGTTTGGTGCCAAAGAAGACCCCAACCTTCACAGAAAGTGTCAACCCCAGTCATTCTTGGCGTGTCAAGGGCCGCTTAGCTGGACTTGGGGGCTTCAAAAAAACATCTAATGCCTTGGTTGGCTGGTGGTGTCCAACCAACCGCGAGTCCCTCCAAAAGTGAGGAGGGTATCCGCAAACTTCCCCCACAGCCCCGGAAGTGTCTGGAACCCGAGGTTACTTGGCTGTGGGTCAAAAATAGGTTCCCCAAATGGCACCCTGGTAAATGGAAACAAGGACTAAAACCTGGGGTCTCCTGATGGTTTAATTTTGACCCATGACCCCATCGCGAACCGCGAACCCCGCGCCGATGCCCCTGGGCCAAGAAACTGCCTCAGAAGTTCTTGGCGCATCTGAGCCTCGCGCCTGATCAAGCGACTTGAGGGGTCTGTCTCTCTGTTTTTTCTGGAGGCTAGCCCTGTAAAGGCCTTTGATCAGCCAGGGGCTGTCAAAAACGTGGGTTTGTCTTAAAACTGCCAGAAGCTTGATGAGAGACTCGATGCGGTGAACATCAGAACATGGGGATAAAGTGGTCCACCAACCATTTGTGAGGTGTTTCCCTATTGTGTGTCTGGAGGGTATCCTTCAGCTTGGTTTTAAAGCCGACACCCGTGCAAAGATTGCTCTTGCAGGTTGAGGGTCCCCTTGGGAATCCCTGATGGTTTTAGCGGGAGAAATCAAAGGCAAGCCGCCCTTGGGTCCAAAATCCATTTGTTTTTGATACGCCTTAAAACCGGCCGTGGATTCGTTCGCCAAAAATGATCCGAAGCTGTAGAACAGGATCCGAAAAGATGTCGCCACGGGAGGCTCGAAGTGCCCGAGCGGAAGGGTAGAGGCTCAAGCCTTGTCTTTGATCAGACCAAACACACCCTGAACGGCCTGATTTTCTTCCAGGGTTCCCGTGCAGAAGGTGTTCTTCTTTTAGGGGACCCCCCAAAAAGTAATGTTCAAACCACAAAAAGGGACCAGCGTTTTGTGGATTACATGACAGGTCACAGACTCTCTCTCCGGGCGCCCGCGCAGGTCGAGGCCTCGCAAGCCCATTTGCGCCTGGATTCGCGAAAGCCAACCTGAGAAGGGTACCCTCGCAAAATACAAACCCATGTCTGGAGATGAACACGGAACCTTCAAAAGAAGCAGAAAAGAGTTTGCGTGTTTTGGTGGGAAAGAAACAGACTTGACTTTTAACAAAAGGAAACACATACTTTGCACGTTTTGCTGGCGGGGGACAAGCAGTTTGGACCCTTTTTGGCGGAACCATCAGATGTTTGTAGATCAAACAGTTTGGGTGTGTTTTTGTGTTTTTTTCAGGGCGGCAAACTGTCTTGCATGATCCGAGCCATGGATCTGTCTGCCTGCGACATGCCGAGAATCGCGCTGGCTTTCTTTGTCCAGAAATAAGGCCATCCCCCAAAAGACGTTCCATGGCTTGGAAGTGAATCCTGAAACTGGACCCAATATTTTACCACTATCAAAGTCACCCACGTCACTGGCTAAAAGGAAACGCCCCCACCTTCTAAAGTTGACTACCACCAAACAAAACGACGAAAACATGAGCCCAGCTAGTGCTCCGTGGAACGCAGAAAGCTAAACTCTTAGTGGGATATCCTATAAATCCAACTCTCAAAAGCTAAAAGCTAAAGTCTACGGCACCGTATGGCTGGAAACGCCAGGCCTCGTGGTTTTCGGTTTCCAATAGATCTTGCCCCCCAAGCCACCGAAGAAGCCGCCTTTTACACCGGATACCAACAAGGACCTTGATTTTGACGACCGAGGGCAGTTGACCCTCAAGAAGGGGCCAGCTAGGTCCTGCCCAACCAGCCGGCAGGTGGTTGAGCCAGTGGCGCAAGTTGCTTCAGAAACCAGCTGGGGTTTCTACAAGTAATCGGTGTTTTGGTGGGTCTTTGGGCAGCTTCCGGCATGTCCCGGCACCTTGTCGCCCCTTCCCCCGGATCTCACGCCTTGAACTCCTCCGGAACCACAGGCGCCTGAGGCGCCTGAGGCACCTGCTGGTCCTCCGAGAGAACGAAAGGCACCACGGCACCACCCTCCCGACGGGTGCCCAGCCCCGGACCCCAGGCGTATACTTTCAGTTTTTACAAATGACTTTAAGAAAACCTGTGTCCAGCCTTTGTGAGCGTGAAAGGGTTCGAGAACCTTGAGGTAGGCTTGAGTGGCCACCCTTATTGGAAGCGAAACCCGGCATCCAGTTCCTTTCATGCAGTTCCCACTAAAGTAGGAAGCTGAAAAAGACCTGCAGAAACCAAAACAAATCGTCGGGATACAGTCGCTTCCAAATGCTTACGCGGAAGGTCAAACACAGGGCAAAAGCTTACTTGCTCAGGGATGTCCGTTGGGGATGACTTCGAAAGGAAACCGGCGCCTTGAAACGAGCAAGCAAAGTTGGAATAAGCTACTCAGCTTTAAAACCACGTTCCCACTGGCAAAGGCAAAAAAACATTCTGATGGCCCAGAATGCAAACCATAAACACATTTCTGCAGAACAGGTGGATCGCGCTCAGTGTTGGGCCAACCCCTTGTTGGAGCATGCTTAGTTGTGTACACGGCTTCATTTAGGCTGCTTGTGGGTCATGGGTTGCACTCAACACGAACCTTTTCATTGTTGCAAAGTCCCAAGAACCCCTAACAACCCCAAAGGGTATCTTGAGCATGGCACATGTTGCAATCGACTCTGACGCTCCCCTCCCTCGTTGTCTCCTGTCCCTGCGCCACGTCCAAGCACCACCTCCGCTTGAGCGATTGACAGCATCCGGACGACGTTCGTCGATGACACTTGGCTATTAGTAGGTGGGCTGGTTGAATCCGGGTAGAAGCCCTCTAACATCAATACCGGGGCAAGTCCCTGCAGACTCGCTTGCCGGATAAGTGGTATTCCGATTTGTAGGTGTGCATATATACAGACATGTGTGTATATATATATATATATATATACAATATACATGTCTTGATATATATATATATATATATACATGCATGTACATATGTGTGTGTATCCGATGCGTTTGATTTGCATGTTCATACACACTCATGTTACGCATTCTGCGCAAAATACGCCGATACCTGCATATACACGCATACTTACCCCGACAAAGATGTGCACACGCATATATATATATATATATATATATACATATATATATATATATATATATTTATGTTCCCCCCCCCCCCACTCAAAAAATGTTTTGCTTGTATCCCCTACTACATGAAGCACATGTGCGCTCCGCATCCGGCCCCATGCATGCCTCGGAATGTTACGATGTTGAAAGGGACCAAAACAAAACAAACAAAAACTCCAGCCACAGTGCGGGTAGGATTTGCTGTTCTTGTTCTGGTTTCTTGGCGTTTTGGTCTTCTGGCTCTGTGGCGATATTGGGCAACTTCGTAGCATGTTGCGCAACATTTGCCAAATCTTGCACAACATTTGCAAACCAAGCTGAGAGCCTCGGAAATCTTGCGCAACAGTTGCGTCTTTTTCTGAGTTTCTCTCTTGGGTCCCGCCCCCAAAACGCTTAGGTGTTTCCAGCAACGCTGTTGTTTTTATACAGGCCCTTTTTGTTCGACCAAGGAGGTGCCCAGCTTGACCCCATTGTTTGTGGGAAAACGACATACACTGCGCAGCTTGGCCTTTTCTAAAAGGAGGAATGATGATGCTCTGACGCATGCCGACAAGTACAACATTTTATTGCATTTTTGGCCAGGCTGGCGAGGCAGATTCCAAGGAGCAGATCTATGTTGATGTTACCGTGGTTGGTTTGGCTCAGTTTGCGCTTACATAATACGACATGGAGTTAGATGACGGCAATCAACCTTTTGAAATTGGTGTTAGTTTCAATGTCAACCATGTCAATAACTTCAGAATGCAATTGCTTACAGAAATTGGTTTCGGTACTCTAGAAACCTGTCAAATCCTCTCAAAAACAGGTCCAACTCCGGCCAAAATCCCCCCCCCCAGAAACCAGTCAAATTCACCTTCGCTTGGCCCGAGCTCCTGCCATTCTGTAGCTTTCTGCAGCTCTCGTTCTGGCCCTTGAAGCCATGTGGAAACACACAGACCTCTACCTGCAAACCAGCTCACGCAACACAGATTTGAAGGCAAACTAAAGCACGGTGTATACCTCAGAGCCAGCCAAGAGCGGACTGGCCAAGGCGGGCAACGCGAAGCGTTCACAATTACACATTTATTACACATACATTAGACATATACTACACACATTATATTATCCTACACATATATAATGCATATTATACATATATTACACATATATCATACATATGCCATACATATACCATACATATCTTACAACTATTACAATGTACATATGTACATATATACTACATGTATGTGACGTATACTTTTGCACATACATATTCATACACGTATTTGTGTGCATATAAATTGATGCGGCCCTGTCTGACTTGCCACTGCGACGCTGCTAATCGAGCCTCATGAGCTCGTCCACGTTTGGCTCTGTGTCTTGGTGCCTCAAGGGCGGAAGGGGCGAGCGAATAAGTGCCCGGCTGACACGGATATGGCTCTGTCTCAAAATGCAGATACCAAAGAAAAGTGGGGCGATTGCTTTACAACGAAACTAAACGCAGACTGACATTTTCAAGGAACGCTATTTCAAGGCAAGCCAGTTTGTCTGCCCAACGCCAGAAAGTGGGTGGAGCTGGCCGAATTCGATGGAGACTGCTCTGGGGATTGCTCTTGATGCCAAAACCACCGGCTTGAAAAGTGCTTTTCTAGGTGCTAACTATAGTGTCAGAATTGGTGGAATTGGAGCCAACACGTTCCCAAGAGACGACCGTTGAAAATCCGGAAGCCGGTGGTGGATTAACTAAGCGTGAAGCACCTGCAAGAAGTCCCGGGCTGGCAGGAAGCGATCAGCTTCCATTTGCTCAAGCCCCCTGGAAACAAGTAAAAGATGTCCAGTAGTTTTCGATTCCTTCTACAACCAACAGGGGAAAAGAAAGTATTCTTAAACAAATGGAAGTCACGGGAGTTGGTATCGGCAAAGGGGCACTTGGTGCGAAAGATCGATGGTCCTGCTCTATCCGCACCTTGCCATTCAACAACTGAAAGAATGGTCCCCCGAAGTGAAGTAGTTTTGGACTGTTTAGGCAAGAAACACACCCAATACCCCTTCCTTCTTCAAATAGCTGGAGTGGTATCTCAATATGTTCCTGAGCATCCTCGACACGAACCCGGTGTCTGTGTTCTCTGCCACGGACCAACGCTGCATCACCAGGCTGGCTGCTTGATTCAACTGCTCCACTGCTTGCAGCAGGAAATCAAGTGTGTCTCTTCGCAGGAGGAGCTGCAGCGATACGCTTGCTTTATCTCCAACTTTGCCACCGCCAAGATTCCTCGTCCGATGCCTCCAAATTTGCTTTTGCCCAAAATAAGCCGCCAAGCTTCCTGTGTGACTAAAGCGTTCCTGTGGTTGCGGCCGTACTTAATGAAGGACGCATCCATCATACATGGACCCAAGCCATCTTGGCGAAGCGAAGCCTTCGTTGAACATGGCGCTAGGCTCCACTCTCAGGAAGACAGCAGAAGTTCACAACGTCAGTGCTGACGATTGCGAGTTCGTCGGTTGGAAAGCGTTCAACCGTCATAGTAATCGTCCCAGTGGCTCTCAAGCACACCTAGGCCCACACAGACTCATGGTGTGTCCTTCCAAGAAGGCTGTCCCATTCTTGTTGAAATGGGGCTTGCCAAAGGCTGAATGGAACCCGACGTTTTAGTGACATCTTGTGCTTGCTTGAACCTGGAGCGGGTCTCAAAAGGATTGACGAGTCGCCGTGAGTCGCCGTTTCGCAATTTTACACCCACTGAATAGGGAGGCCCTGTTTCTCGATTCGACTCCAACCTGTTTTTAGGGCCCATTAACCAACAGGCGCAATCGGAGCACGCTTCAAACAAACACACACACACACACAAGCTGCCGAAAGAGAAGAAAAACACAACGGGTCGGTGTTTCGCCGCGTCAGTCGATCGCCTCCCTCTTTTGAAAGGGGAAGATGCGGGTGTGCGTTTTCAGGGTACCCTTGGGAGGGGCTTCAAGGGGAAAGCCCGCGGGAACGCCAAGGCATTGGCACGACGCCGAGCTTCACTGACCTCGTGAAGGACAAGGACCTCAGCTCCTGCGAATTTCCAGAAGCGACGCGATTCGAGGGGTCCATTGGGGCCTTAGGTTTCTGTGTTTTTGTTCCCGACAGGAAGGGGTTGTTAGATTTTATGTTGGAATCCGTGTTTGCGATGCTTCCACACCACGCCAATATCCCGCCAGAGCAGCTCGCCAGTCGATCCCGCCGAGTATCCCGCCAGAGCAGCTCGCCAGTGCATCCCGCCGAGTATCCCGCCAGAGCTGCTCGCCAGTGGATCAGGTGAAGTATCCCTCCAGATCTGCTCGCCAGTGGATCCCGCCAAGTATCCCGCCAGAGCGGCTCGCCAGTGGATCCCGCCGAGTATCCCGCCAGAGCGGCTCGCCAGTGGATCCCGCCGAGTATCCCGCCAGAGCGGCTAGCTAGTGGATCCCGCCGAGTATCCCGCCAGAGCTGCTCGCCAGTGGATCCCGCCGAGTATCCCGCCAAAGCGGCTTGCCAGTGGATCCCGCCGAGTATCCCGCCAGAGCGGCTCGCCAGTGGATCCCGCCGAGTACCCCGCCAGAGCTGCTCGCCAGTGGATCCCGCCGAGTATCCCGCCAAGGCGGCTTGCCAGTGGGTCCCGCCGAGTATCCCGCCAGAGCGGCTCGCCAGTGGATCCCGCCGAGTATCCCACCAGAGCAGCTTGCCAGTGGATCCCGCCGAGTATCCCGCTGCCAGGGTAGCTCCCCAGTGGATCCCGCCGAGTATCCCATCAGAGCATCCCGCCAGTGCATCCCGCGCCCCGCTGAGTATCGTTTGCCGGTGGATCCTGCCGAGTATCCGGCCAGATAGAGCCGCAGCAGTTTGCCAGCATTCGCCAGTGGATCCCGCCAGTATCCCGCCAGCGCAGCTTGCCAGTCTGGCTTTGCTTAATGTCCAAAAGGGCCGACGAGAATTTGGAGTCGAAGTCTCTAGAACGCGGAGGAATTTGTTGTAACGGCCGTAAGCTCGTGAGTGTGGAGGGTGGGGATTGCTCGAAGCGAAATATTGTTTTTCCCGAGGGTACCGTTGGAGTGGTTTTAAGGACCCCCCGTTCGGGCCAGGGAAAAGGGGGTGGCCACTACCTGAAGAGTTGATTTTTGATCGAATCCGGACTGGAATCTTGATCAAGTTCATGGATTTCGCAAACAGGAAATGAAGGATCCACAAGAAAAGCAGTTTGATGGGGGGGTTGTTGGTAGGGGGCCTGAGCTGGCTTTAGCCGCAGGTGAGCTGGTTGTAATCGGTGCAGAAGTAAACAAGGCATTCCAGGGCTGGCAGCATGCTTGTGGGAAACAAGCCTTTCTGTCCAAAATGGGCTACCCCTATGTCCAAGTGGTCGCTTTAAAGAAGAGTCCGTTTGGTATCGCAGAAAGTGGCAACTTTACACCCCAACTTTTCCCATGGAAACAAGGCTGGCGACAAAACGTGGACATGAATGTGCCCAGAGCTGCCCAGGATCCCTTGCCTGAAGGTCTCGCAATGGTTAATATGAGGTGAAAGGGCAGGTTTGTCAAGCATCTCTCTTGTGAAATCATGTACAAAGGCTGCTTGAGGCGGAGGCATTTTTGGAACCAAGAAAAGTCTGCCATGTTGATTGCCAACATCCCACTCCACAAATCCCATCCCACAGGCCCACCCTCCCCATCCCCCCAAACCCCCAAAACCCCCATCCCCCCCCCCAAAAAAAAAACAAGAAAAAAACAGAGTTCCATCCTTTCCAGACCCCCGGACCCCCGGACCCGCCCTCCTTGCTCTTGAAGTTGGGCAGCTCTTGCACCAAGATGGCCGCCAGCTGGGACTTCAAGCCTCACGTGAAACGAAACGAGAGCAAGGCGCAACGGCATAGCCAGAAACCAAAGACCCAACCAGCCAGGCCTTGCCCTTTCACCCTACATTCGTGTTGAAAAACCAGGGAACCCTACAAAGAAACCAAAAGCGCCTCAGAAGGGTGGGAGTGAAAAGGAGAAGTTTTCCTTGACTGGTTCGACACACCCGGACCCTTCTACCAGACCTTGGACAGCTGTTGAAAAGTCATTGCAGGAGTCAATACTCAGCCACAGAACCAAACAAACAAACGAAGAAACAAACAGGCAGGCAAGCAAGCGTGCAAGCAAACAAAGAAAGAAACAAACACAAAAAACAAACAAACAAACAAACAAACAAACAAACAAACAAACAAACAAACAAACACACAAACAAACAAACAAACAAACAAATAAATAAATAAATAAATAAACACACACACACAAACAAACAAACAAACAAACAATCAATCAATCAAACAAACAAACAAACAAACAAGCAAGCAAACAAACAAACAAACAAACAAACAAAGCAACAAACAAGCAAACAAACAAAAAAAGAACAAACAAACAGACAGACAGACAGACAGACAAACAAACAAACAAACAAGCAAACAAAACAACAACCCAAACCAAAACAGGCCAAACCAAACCAACCCAAGCTAAGCCAAACCAAGACAAACCAAGCAAACCGACCTACCCACCCACCCGCCCGCCCACCCACCCACCTATTTAACCAACCAACCAACCATCCCAACCCAACCCAGCAACAAATCCAAACAAACAACACAAACAAAAGAAGGCAAACAAACAAAGAGAAGCCAACAAAACAAAAACAAACCAACACATGCAAAGCAAATAACAAAACACCATCAAACCAAAACGAGCGCGAACAATGGAAACTGGGCTTCCCGGGCGTGCCAGCTGCGGGCACTGGACGGCTGCCTGAACGAGAGAAAATCACTCGTAAGGACAGGGGAAATCACAGGGTAACTTCCTACAAAAACAAGGTAGCTTACAGTTCCAAAATGGTTCCAAATGACTCAGAAATGGCTCCAAAATCGCGCGAAAAGGTTCCAAGATTCCAAAGGTCAAGAATTGAAGCACGTGGAATGTCTTTCCTGCCCCCCAAAGGCTGTCAAATAGCCTCCCAACAACAGTCCGCAGGAGGCGACTCAACGGCAAGTCGAGTTTCCTACATTCGCTTCACAACCCTGGCACAAATGAGATGCTTGTTTTTCAGTGATACATCCCCCCCTGAACCAACGGGGAAAAAGCAAAAAGCTTGTATATTAAAGCTTTCGGCCAATGGAAGTTGCGTCGCCCCTCGGCTCGCCCCTCCCTCCCCAGTGCAAGTTTGGCGCCCGGAAGAAGACCACCAGCGCGCCGTGGTCCAAGGCTTTCAACCGCGCCATCACCTGACTCGACTGGCAGGGTGCGGGCCATGATGCATACCTCAGATTAATAAACCCCCTTTTTGAGGTGGGGAAAAACGAGAAACCAAAGCCAAATTCATTTTCGGGGTCCTCCTATTTTGCCCTTGCTCAAGCAAAATACTTGGGGGTTGCCAATGACAATGACTCGAACCATCGGAAACTCTACTTTGCTTGTTTTGGGCATGCGAGGCCAATGTATGCCCTGGACATTCTGGGAAGTCTGGATGGAGGAGCCGGCTCCGACCAGGTACCAGAAATCTAGCATTCGCCCCGCTTTCGGGTTCACTTTTTCAACCAGCTCGGCAGCTGAGCAAGAGTTGGCCTTGGCTGAAAGAAGCTGATCCTACCCACAAGGAGAACACACCGCAGATTGACCCGGAAACCCCAAAGATCATCATCTTGTTCGCCAGCTCCTTTTGGGAAACCTGCTTGGGGGTTGACGTCAATTTTCCGGGGTACACAGGGCTACGTCTGTCACGGCGGGCTCATCATGCGGCCCTGGCCTCCGCTTGCGCTTCTTGGAACATCCTTCGAAGCGTCCCTCCCCTCTTAGCGTCCTTTCAGGGAAGCTCAAAACATGGATCCGCACCTAGACAACTAGGGATCGATCATCTAAATTCGCAATAGCTCAAAAATCTGCAAGGAAAACTCCCAAGTACACGACCTAGGTGTTGAGAATAGGCAGAACCATGCGTGCCTGCTGCTCCACGACAGCTAGGAAGGTCGGGTGCAAGTTGATGCGCAGTCTCGGGCGAACAGCGTGAGTCGGGATGGGTGTACGCGACCCGCCTCCCTCGGTTCCCAAATGGGGGTGAAAAATATGGCCCATTTTGCAACCAGTGCCACCAAAGAAGCCGCCTTCCAAAGCAAATCCCGAGAAGGGGGCCCTAGTCTTCACAACCCTCAACAAAAGGCCCTGATAAGGCCACAATTTAGGTTTGTTTTGCCATGCATCTATTGCTGATGTCCTCGGCAAACAGAAAGATGCTTGGGCGCTTGGCTAGTGGGACTATATTGCTCTGCTTTGCGCTGCCCTCTAAATACACTGTGTGTGTCGGGCTACACCGACATATTCCGAATAGCTGAGTGTTTTTAAGACTGCTTCATTAGTCCTGTATTGCCATTGCTGTTGAGGGCGGCCGACACGACGTTTACCTACTTGCATGGGCTCAGCGCCATTAGGTTGGTATGAAACCTGTCTAAGAGGGTCATCGTTACTGGCCCGCAGAATATGTCCCGCCAGGCGCGCCCGTCTCACTTCCAACTCCTCCAAAAAAGGGCGGACCCGCCTGTCAGGATCCTGTGGCGCCACTGTGCTGGAGGCTAAACTCTACACCCCAGCAATTGTTCAACTACGGTCCACATACGTTATGGGGTCTGAGATGCAACAAGTTTAGCTGCGAAGAGTTGAGACAGTAGTTTTTGGTCCATCTTGGTCCATCTGACCTTGCGTGGACTGCTTGCTTAGCATTTCACTTGAATGTGATCCCTTGAGCGCTTTTGTGCTCGACGTGGTTTTGATTCAGGACGGGTGGCCAGATTGCTTCTCTGTGCTGGAAAGCTGCCACGAGGGCGCTTGAGAATATCGGGCTCATGCTTGGGTCAGCGCACGACTGACCTGATTTTGTGAATGTAGTGCTGGCTCTTGCTCGGCAGTGGGTGTTGGCAGGCGTGGCGGGCCAGCGGCGTTATCATTTGATAGCTTACATGTGACAAGAACGGTAATCACCTCCCCCCCTGTTCCGTGTTTTGACCGTGCTTGGCCTTTCTGCCTTTTGGTTGTTCACTACTCACTGTAGCAGAGATAAGATCTTTAAGGACATGTCCAATCCCCAACCTCCATTGACAGTGCTTTACTTCGGAAATAGTACTGTGTATTGCTTGGGGGTCCTTGCCCATGGCATCGGTCCACACCCCCTCCCCTTCCCCCCAAGTTCGGTATGTCAAAATCACAGATAGATGGTGGATTGGGAGCTTGGCAGCTTCCAGGGATTCATCGCTTTACGAGAACCCCCTATGGGCCAGGCTTATTCAAGCGGGGTCAGCATTACTTCGCCCCCGGCCCTCGAGTCGGTCCGATGTTCCATTTCTCTGAGGCGGCCGCATGCCAAAGGACGACACGATGTTGGCCAAGGACTGGTCAGAGAATAAGCCGATGTGTTCCTGGCACCACCTCGGGGCGAAGTTTTGGAACATGTCTTTCTGCGCGGACCCGAGAACTGGTCAGTATGGGGAAGCCAAAAAGGAACCGAACAAGATTTCTACTTTTGGGCGTGTGTGTTCGAGGTAACCTTTTGGTTGGTTTAGAAGGGAAGCCAAAAGAAACCCAACCATTTTGAAGGCACAACCGAACCCTGCCAGACGTGCGAACAAAAAATATAAGCTCCTAACATCTTGGAGTGCGGATAGTATAACAATCGCACAATGAGATGTGGTGCGAGACAGTTCATGTCGCTCATGAAGTCATTTTTACTCAAAACTCAATCTTTCTGAACCCAGGATGAAACCGAACCCTCCAAACTGGAACAACAGAGACGCTACTAGACACTTCCAGCCAGGGCTGTGGGAAATGACCACTTCTGCGATGCAACAAAAAGGGCCTCCCGAAGACTACCCCCCTGCCCCCCATATAAAGAGGGATTGCCTTGTCATTATCACTCTGGCAAAGGCGGTCTACCCAAAACGTAAGAATCAAGAGGGCAACACCCTGGCTGGGACTGTGCGATTCAACGGGTGGAGGCACAAGGAACCTCTCTCATGCGAAGGTTAGTGACAAAAGTGGCCAATCAAGTGCACAGAACCAAGCGCAGAATTCCAAGTTGCAACAACCATAGCTAGCCAACGACCCAGCAAACCAATCAAACAAGTGGTTTTGGCTATCTTCCTGCAGAACTTCCCGTTGCTGAGTTCCTAGACATGCGTTTGCCGTCAACCTTGGAACAACTGCCCCTGAGCACAGAAGCAAGCAAGTGCTGGGCTGTGCTCACACGTGCCTCTGGAAACAGCTGTATATATATATATATATTCTTAGACGCTTATTAAGTATACACTATATAGATATATTGTATAGATCATAGATTCCCCAACGGAGGCGGACATGTGGGGTGGAATCGATGTAGGACACCCCGGCGCGGTACAGCATGACGTTTGCCGCCAGATGCATCGCGGGCCGCAGAAGTCAGTCGCTTAGGCCTCGAGTCGCACCTTTGCAGCCCGTCTTTTTACGTCCGGCGCCAGCTTTGGCGAGAGGGCGTGCCCCTGTTCGAAGCACAGCTTACAAAGATGACTAAAATCTCCTTGTTGGCAGGGTTGATTGCACATCAAAACGAAAGGAACAGGAAACCAAATGAATGAAGGCCCAAAGCAAGCCAACCATTTGTAGCTGTTCCAAATTTGGCACACCAAACAGCGACCTGAATCAATTGTCTGCTGGCCGGCTCTAGACACGCGGGACCCCACTTTGGGAGGGCCGTCGTCTGCGTATTACATCCGCTGCGAATTGCAGGCACAACTCGTTGAGTTCGCTGGGCGGCAAAATGATCTTTGGAGTGAATTTGGCTCAAAACACGAGGTCCTTAGGATTGGAGTTCTGGCGGCAGCTTGGTGGGTCTGGCTACCTTGTGGTTCACAATGAGCGTTTCTAGAAGGAAACGCAACATGTGCCACTGTACAAGTGAACCAGTCACTAGAAAGTAGGCATCAGCACGTGGGAAGTTGGGGCTTTTGTAGCGATTGGTACTTGGAGGGCTTGTGTGCATATATTTTAGGCAGCGGCGTTAAAACTCTCAGCCGGCCTAGGGGGTCCGAAAGGGTCGCGATGGGTTTGTGCCCTTGAACCATTCAGCTACGTGTTTCACCGCCCAGCTAGCTCGAAGGACAGTTCGGCTTGTCCATAAACGGATGTGCATTGGGTTTCCCAAACGGGTAAAAGTCCAATTTGCCAGTTAGTTTGAGGGAGGTAAGTTTTCGCTTGAACCCAAACGAAAGGCTCAAGACCACGGCGGTGTCCGATCAGAAAGCGCGCCGCGGCTTGCCTCAGGAAAATATATCCCGGCCGTGAGTCGAGAGAACTCCCAAGTACGTGGGAGTCCCTTAGGCCCAGGCATAGTTTCCTTGGGCTCCTTAACTCACTGGCTGAGTGGATGGCCCAAAAAAAGTCCAAACTTTATATTGACCCCTAAAATGGTCATCCCAAAAAGTCTAAAGTTCATGAACTCAGGAAGTGAGCTAAAAGAAACTTACCGCCATGCCGGAGCCGGGGTCGTGTCCGTGAGCGCTCAGCGGACTCCGCGGGCTCAGCGGCTCATTTGCTGCAAGTCGGAGAAGCCGTTGGTGGTCGCCGTCTTCCAGGCGGTCTTGAAGACGTTGATCCACTTGCTTTCGGACTGGCAGAACCTCAAACGGTTGAAGGTGCATGGGTCCCAGAGCCTCTCTCGACTTTTTTGCCGCCAACCGCGTTTGGGATGGGAACTCATGGCGGCGTGGCGGCCAAAACACCCGAGCCACTGACAAACCCTCCAGACGCTTGCCGGGCCTGGCGAGTCGAAGGAGGTCATGGCTTACTTTAAAACAAAACGTGACGATCATAGCAGAGTGATTGTAAACCATTTAGCCCCTCTAATATGTCCCTCTCGTTGCCAACATGCTAAAGTGCGCAGACCCAAAACTGGAAGACGACCCACCTTGTACTGCCATTCTGACTTTTGCCACCCCTTCGCAAAGAAAAACGGGGAGGCTGAAAGATGGAGAATGGGTGCACAGCTTCCCCTCCACTCCAAGGAACCCTATCCAAAAAGAAGAAAAGACTGACAAGGCAAAGGCAAACTGCATGACCTTCGATACGAACTTGAGAGGCGGGGGTACCCGGATATCAAGAATAGGCAACCTCAAATGACCATCCCAAAAGTCGGTAAGACCTAAACTTGGACCAGGTGTCAATGAGAAAGATTCCCCAGCTGCGACATGTGGACTACATTGTGGGACTAGGATTGTGGGCGGGGGCGGGCTAGGGTGGAATCGAACACTTCGAGGGAGGGGAGCAGCCCCACATGATGTACTAGCTGTAGCACAAATTATCAATTTACTAATACGCAGGGAGGAAAAAAAACACGTCTTAGGAGATATCAGTGTTGAAATATTCAAAAGAAAAAAGTCATATCAAAATTGTCAGCCGTGTTCAAAGGATTAGACATGTGCAAACTTCTTCAATAAATCACTGTGGGAAGCTCGGCCCTGAAAAATGAAGCTGAACAAGCTTGGAGAACTCCCGCTAGCACGGCGAGCTTTCGTGAAAGGACCAACACTGGAAAACGAGAACTGATCGAAGCCAAGGGCCAAAGGCAAAAACGGGAGAGCCTGCCAGAAAAATAACAAAAAGAAGAAAAAAAGACACGGGGTCTGCTGAACTTCCTGAAGCGGATGGGTCCCGATAACCTCAAGTTGCTTTGTTTTCGTCGGGGTCAATTCTCCTTCGGGGGCCTTTTTGTTCCGCCCCCAAGGATAAACATGTTTAAACCAACCATTTCAGGTTGGAAACCACCCATCTTAGGTTGGAAACGAACTGTTCTAGCTTGGAAGCCAACCCTTCTAGTTTGGACCCCGGTTTTCAGAACCCCCCGCCCACCGCGCAACGCGCTTCGCCGCTTCGCTTCGCTTCCGGGGCACTTCTTCACGGCGCTCCAGGCGGGTCCCTTGGGGAATTGCGGATCCCCGCAATCCTCGGCTGGCCGAGGCGATGCGAACGAGGCCAAAGGCGAACGAGGGCTGGGTGAAACCTGAGGTCCCAGTCCCAAAACTTTGGGGCTCCATGTGGCCATGAGCTTTTCACAAGCCCGTTTAGCCCGTGAACGGGACCGATTCAATCCAAGCACTAAAATAGGCAATCTAAAATGGGTGGTGAATTCACCTATTTCAAAATGGTACCATTGGTGTTGACCCACGGCCAGGTGAAAAATGCAGAGAGACTTGCAAGAGCCGCCGCAGGAAAGACTTGACGATTGGTAACTAGTGGGGCTCAAGAAACATGGGTCGGAATCTTCCCTCCTCTTGTTGTGGCTCTAGATCAGGAATTGAGGGTTGGGTGGCTCAAAGGGTTGGGTGGCTCAAAGGGTTGGGTGGCTCAAAGGGTTGGGTGGCTCAAAGGGTTGGTCTTCTAAAGGGGTTGGATTGGGCTGAAAAGGGACGCTGCTTGACGATCAGCTCAAATATTTAAGGGGGTGGGGGAAGCGAAACAGGTGAGGATAGGTGGTTGGGAAAGTAATTCACATGGACTCCACATGCTCTCCAAGCTTAGGCCCACACCCAGCTGGTGGAAAGCTAGTGTTTCGTTGAGAGATCATTGCCTTGGGCCCACAAGCCCTCCGATCAAGAGCCCGTGGCACCCTTGAAAAAAAAGGAAAGCTGGTGGACGAATTTGCCCCGAAAGGACCCGGCCATCGAGTGTGAGTCTCCGGCGATCGAGCACCCGGCTTGGATTGGTGGATTGGAGTGTCCGGGGCGTTCTCCCTTGAAGCGAGTGCAAATCTCCAGGCCGAGAATCAGGGCTAAAATGAGGCAAAACTGGAAAGTCATGTGGGTGCGTGTCGCCTTCACCCAAGGGAGGCTTGGGGGAGGGATTCATTTTGTCGGGGAGAAACAGCTTCACAACCGCTGCCGGAGTCGCCCCTTCCTGATTCGCTGCGACACAAGGACAATACTTGCCCTTTCTGGCGGTTGAAGTCAAATTAGATTTATCCCCCCTTCTAGTCCGCCCCAAACCGACAGTAGACGACCACTGGTTTCTGTCAGATGGGACTCTCGAAAGTGAGGATACGACCCCCGACTCCTCGTCTGCGATGAGAAACTCCCGGGGCCCGGGCGACTGGCGGTCGGTTGTTCTTGGCTTTGACGCTGCAGCATTGGAATCGCTGCCTTGGGCGGTCTGGGCGGTGAGGAAACTTGGGCAAGGAGAACTTATTGTGCGAAGGGGTCGTAAAACTCCTTTTCATGTTTAGGTGGGCGGGGATCCCGGAGAGCACTTGGTCGCCGCCTGACAAATGCTTGGCCATTTGCCATTTTTTCGGGGGTCACGACCCTGAGAAAAAGAGGGAACGCACTGCCTGGAGAAGTAGCACAAGCCGCGGGCGGCACCGCAAACCGCCTCCCAGAGGGATAGCTTGTAGCCGTTGCCATGGG